GATCTCACCCCACGTTTGGGGCGCTTATTTCAGGTTCAGGTAATTTGGGGGCTGATGTCTCTGGCGGCAGAAGGCCAGAGCTTAGTTGATGATATTGCTTTTATTTATGCTGACATGTTGGATGCTGGTTATATCTGCTGATTTGATGTATTAGCTTACTTTTATTATGTTGCTGTTGTTGAGACGATGTGGGCTTTGTTGCCTTATTTGTGTGAGCATGAGGATTGTCCATGTCACTGATATTAGTACTTATAGTTGGAGTTGTATAAACTGCTTGTTGGACCGGTCTACGTGTTGTAGTTCTGTGTCTAGAGACATACTTATATTATTTATGTTATGAGGTATTTCAGTTAGCTGTCTTTTGCAATCTACGTACAGGCCATATTTTATTTAATTGATTAATTAAGCAAGTTGGTAATGATAATGACGTTATAATTGAAAAGAAAAAGATATTCCGCAATTTTAATTAAGCGCAGCTTAATACGATGATATGATAACATTACCGGATATATACGGGGTGTTACATTCGATTTCTGTTTATTTCTTCTTTGAATTTTTTTGGTTAAATTGGTGAGTATTATTAGTTTAATCTCATTTTTTTTAAATTATTAAATATTAAATGAAATATACACTATATAAATTAAAAATTTTATTCAATATTAAAATGTGTCCCAAAGTTTCGAAATATATTTTGTTAGAAGTAACGTGTGAGAGTATCGTAAAGTGTCAGTGCTACATAAGTCCCAACAAGTGTCATTACCCAAATTTAACACATTTATTTTCTTGGACATGAACACATTCTCTATTAATGACCAAATTACACTTCTTTTTAGAAATTTTTGTCAGAGGAACATATAAGATCCAGATAATTCTTAATCTAATTTTGTATGCTGACATGCAGGTAGTAAGGTGGGGTAAGAATACCATGATAGAGGCATAGAGACGTCTACTGGCCAATGCATTGCTTGATTTCTCAAACCAACGTTTTGTACTGCTCTCAGAGTCATGCATTCCTCTGTTTAATTTCTCAACTATCTACACTTACTTAATGAACTCAACAAAGACCTTTGTGGAGGCTCATGATCAACCAGGTAGAGTGGGGCGTGACAGATACAACCCCAAAATGATGCCACAGATTAAGCTTTCCCAGTGGAGGAAAGGTTCCCAATGGTTTCAAATAGACCCTACCATTGCCATTGAAATGGTGTCTGACCAGAAATATTTCCCAGTGTTCATGAAGTATTGCGCTAATGAATGCTTTAGTGATGAGCACTACTTGCCCACATTGATTAATATCAAATTCCGGAAGAGGAACTGTAACAGGACCTTGACATGGGTTGATTGGTCAGTAGTTGGACCTCACCCATCAAGGTATAATAGACAAGATGTGACTATTGATTTTTTGAAGAGGCTAAGGCATGGAAGCTCATGTGAGTACAATGGACACATCACCAATATTTGTCACTTGTTTGCAAGAAAATTCTCGCCTCATGCTTTGGATAGACGGCTGAGAATTGCTCCCAAGATAATGCAGTTCAATTGATTTGTCTTTGCAAATGGTTCACAAGGGGTCACTAAAATAATATGTGAATTTTGAGTTTAGGATCCGTGAGGGTCTAGGAGTTCTGTTCAATATGAAAGCCAAAGTAGTCCTAACATGAGAATTAATGTCTTATATAGCTCTTTAGGGGGTGTTTGGTTCAAGTTTTTGGAGAGGATTACCGGTAATCCTTCTTTGGTAAATGTAATTACCACGTTTGGTAGAAGGAATAAATTACGATTCCCAGATATCCAAGGATTACCGGTAATTTGATTTATAAAGAAAAGTCACTATTCAGATTACCAAAAATAATATGGTAATTCGGAATACCAATCAGAATACCAAGTAAAGGGAAAGCACAACAATAAATTTTGAGACAAAAATACCCCAATACACATAAAAATCTAGACCCAATCTATCAATTACAAAAGTAAAAATAGTTTGGGGTTATTTTTGTAAAATAATTTCATATTCCAAGTCATATTTCGTTCTAAACCAAATATGGAATCAGTAATTTTTACCCAGTATTCCCGGTAATATTTTGGCGAACCAAACACATCTTTCGTAAGATTCCAAGTAAACTCAATTTCTATTGAATTCCCATTAATCATGATTCCCGGTCACCAAAAAATTTCTCCTGTACCAAACACACCCTTAAGGTAAATTTTGTTTTTGCATCAATATCTTTTATAGAGAATGAGACTGAATTACAAAAATTACAAAATGTAATATTGTTCTCGACTTATTTGATGGCCCCGTAACTTTGCTGTAAATTAGGATAACCCCAATTTAAATATTAGAGGATCTTATGTGTTAAGAATTTGACTCCAATTCAAACTCTCACACCTTCAGTAAATACCTCCTATAAATAAAAGGTTAAGCTTTACACTTACACATATATTTTGTGTTGGACTTTCTGTAATGTAAAAAATCGTGTCGCGTGGCTTGGAACAATAAATTGCACATGCTTGACCATATGGAACTAGTTCACACGTGAACCATATAAGACTGGCCAGCATACGATAATTATAAGTCTTGTAAGGCTGATGTACGGGACTGGTCTACGTGTATAGAGGTGTGTAAAATAATTAAAAAATTGAACCGAACCATGAATCGAACCGAACCGAAACGTCCTTAAAATAATCAGTTTTTAAAAATCAGTTCATGAACCGAACCAGTTTTTAGAACCAGTTTAAGAACCGAATCATATTGAACCGAACCGAACCGAACCGTTTTCAAATCGAACCAAATTAATTTTTATAATTTTTTTTTAAATTTTTTATTTTTTTCTTTTCAAAAGAGGGTCGACCCGAATCGGTTCCGAACCGAACTGAATCACTTCCGAATCGAACCAGTTTTGAACCGAGCCGAACCACTTCCGAACTGAACCATTTAAACCAATTCGGTTCGACTTTTCAAAAAATCCGATTCAATTTGATCCGATTCAATTTGACCCATGCACATCACTATACGTGCAGAACTTCCCAACATACGACAACCCTAAATCTTGCATCACTGACGTGCAGAACTAATCTTGTCTAATCAAAATGCGAGACTAACTGTATTAGTTTGGTTATATATTTGAAAAATAAATTATTCGATAATTATTACAGTCATTGAGCCCATGATGGTTGATTTTCTTTTATATGAATATTGTTTTACAACTAACTAAGGGGGTATTGGATTGAATTTTAAAAGACTTTTTTGAGATAAAAAATCTAATAGATTTTAAAAGATTATTTAGAATTGGAGGGACTTTAAAGACTTTTTTAAAAGATATTTTTTACAATCAATATTTCATAAGATTGAATTTTAAATAATTTTAATAGATTTTATAAGATTTGAAAATGACAATATGGATTTATAAGATTTTAAAAAATCATATGAATTTTTAACAAACATTCAAAATTACAAGAGTCAATAAAAAAATAAAAAATAACAAAGAAATACAATAATATTAATAAGAAAAGAAAAATCTAATATAAATTTCTGAATCAGTAAAAGTCATGATAAAATTTCGTTTGAAATTTTTTGCAATTGATCTTGTAAACCTTGGGGTTTTTGTTCTATGTAATGAGTTTTCTAACCATATATCATATACATGTTTTCATTGCGTATTCTAAGAAAACTTTGAATCTTAATTTATGAGTTTTATTACATGAAAGTTTAGAAAATTTCTCAAATTATTTTCAATCGATACATTGAAACCTTAAATTGCTTTGGGGCTTTTGAAAAATAAGTTTTTAGTGATACATTAACATAAAAATTGTTTGAAATCGTTTCCTATAGCGGATGAATTTCGTTCATGAATGTATTGTTATTAAACATAAGGTTCATATTATAAAAGTTTCAATATTTCTTTAAATCGATATTGTTCCATTGATTTAAAACGAAAAATGATTTGAGAGTTTTTGTTCCTTTGTTGTTTTCCCACTGTCTTATATTATTTTTAATACAAAAATTATACATTTTTGTGCCAAAAAAATCGTGATTAATAGTTTGAAAAATCATTTTTGAAACTTTCAAAATCTCTTAAAATTGTTCAAAAATCTGCTATTTTTGAGATGGATTAGATTAAAATCTTGTTGGGTTGTTGTTTTGTGATGAAAATCGCTCAAAAATCTGTTGTTTTTAGCTTTGATAAAATTTCCATGGCAGAACCCGATTTCGAGTAAGTTGACCCGCCAAAGAAAGAAGAAGACACTGCAATAAAGAAATCTCAAGAAATCGGGTTAGGATGAGATTGTGAGAGAAACATCCTATTTATATTTCTCACTAAAAAGTCTTACGAAATCCACATCCATGGAAAATCCATTAAAATCGTTAGGTTTTTTAATACCACAATATTGTTTTTCCTTTGTTTAAAATCCTGATTGAATACTAACGGATTTGGACGGACTCTAAAATCATCTTTTAAAATCTTAATCGAATACCACATAATTTTTTTTTCAATCCTTTAAAATCCTAATTGAATAACAATGAATTTTTTTTTCAAAAATAATCTATTAAAATCTCAATCCAATACACCCCTAAGTTAATATCATCCTACTTTGTATAACGAAGGGGCACAATGTAGAAGTTGTAACCACGACCCTGCTCGAGTAGCATTACAATTCTAAATTGCCCATCTTGGAAAATCCTGCAATATCGCAAATTTTGTTGGACAGAGAGGGTTTCTTCTGGAAAGTGGAAACATGGCAAATAAACATTTCCCAACTCAAAAGCAGATTCTACACAATTATTGCTGGAGAAGGAAAAAATATATTCCTTTACGAATTTTCATTACAAAGTAAGGAACCAAAATCATAAATATAGTAGAAAGGCAGGGAATTGCTTGTTTCTTTCCTTTCAATATCGAACACAACCCTTATAATTCTACATGAACTTAAGAACTATATAACATAAACACCTCCTGTGACATCTTGTTTTGGAACTCAAATCCCTTCTTTGTAGCATTGAGATGAACAACTCAACCAGTCAAGAATTAATTGTTCACTGTGAAGAGAATGAGGATGATTATTATAATCTTGAAGACTATGACATTGATGAATCTTACTACTTCTATGTCATCAATGCAATACTAAGTGGCACTGCAAGGCTCAATGTTCTCTTGCCCACATTCACCATCCTTGCCTTCAGCATTTTCGCACCAATCTTAACAGATGATGGTGAATGCAGCACACTGAATCGCTGGTTAATGGGAATCTTTGTTGTTATATTGGCTGTTTCTTGTGTATTCTTTACCTTGACAGATAGCTTCAGAACAGCCACTGGGAGGTTGTATTATGGGGTGGCAACATTCAGAGGGATATGGACTTTTAATGGAGGCAGGAAGAAGCCACGTGTGCCATCAGATTTCAGATTGAGATGGAATGATCTTTTCTATGCATCACTATCCCTTTTGTCTTTTCTTGCTTTTGCAGGATTGCATCAAGATGTTGTTAAATGTTACTATCCAGGACTGCCTAGAAAGGTTACCAACACTCTTCCCCTTGTGGTTGGTTTTGTTGTAAGTATCTTGTTTGTTGTGTTTCCTTCAAAAAGAAGAGGGATTGGCTATCCTTTCTTGCTGCAGAGAGATCCTTTCTTCTCTAGACGTTGAAACACATACAGAAACCTGACTTGTTGCATAAGATTTAGCCAACACATCCTATGAATTGATAAAAGGAAAACTTCTTGCCCAACTATTAGGATATAGAAAAGGACTGATAGAATCTTCTATTTGTTAAGGAATTCAGGTTTATCAGTTATCATTAAAAAGAACACCTAAAACCACAAGAATTGTTGTAATTTGGTCACCATTCAAGGTCTAAATGAGTGCATTATGCATAAAGTTTTAAAAATCTTCTCTTGCTTGTGTCTATTTAAGGCCTTAAATTTATTTTAAATTTATTTCTATCTTTTTTATTTAGGATTAGCTTGAGCAGTGATAGGTTGCCCCTTTATGATCAGAAGATTACACAATTGAGTTTAGAAAACAGTGATTTTGCAAAAACATAAGAATAAAGCTGTATACAATTGACTCACAATTGAGCCTTTGTGGAACTCCATTGTGAGTAAATTGGCAACTTCAACGAAAAGTAAACACGAACAAAATTTTCAGCCAATATTTTTACTGTGATAAACCATAAAGCTATCAGACTAAGTTTACAACGAGAACCATGGCTACTTATCAATTATGGTACAATGACAACAAAGTGAAAATGAAACAACGAGTCCCACTCTATCCTCATGCAATATAGCTTACGAAAATATTAGCACTGTTTGACCAAATGGGTCGGTCGAATTTCGCTGCCATGCTTGGGACTGCCTCAATGGACAAGAAATTTGTAAGCAGTACATGGAGATCGTAACACCTTCCCACCGTGTATTGCGTTACGTTCATCATGCAAGGAAAAAATCAGAGTGCGCTCTTGTTTAGACAACAGTTATTTTTACATTTCTTCAGTTGTAGAGTGTAAGTTACTATAAAAGAAAGTTGACAGGATTTGAACTACTTTTACAATTAAAAAAAAAATAAAAAAATTCAAGTTGTGAGCTCATATTGCACCTATAACTTATTAATTTAATTTATATAACGAACATTTAGGTCAAATTATAAAGGGAAAAGTTCATAAACCCTCACATGGTTGTTACTATTTTATCACTTACACCCGTATAGTTTTTTTTTTGTTATCGTTTACCCTCATGTGACTTTATTCTATCCAAGTCCATCTTTAATACCATTAGTGTAACACCTCGTGTATATCCGGTTTGTTATCATATCATCGTATTAAGCGCTGCTTAATTAAAATGCAGAACTAACTTTTTCTTTTCAATTATGACATCATTATTATTAACCAAGTTGATTAACTAATCTTTTTTCATAAACCATTGTCTGCATTTAAATGCAAATAGACAGCTAACTACACTGAATAACCTCATATATAATTAAGTGTGTCTCTAGTCACGGAACTACAACACGCAGACCGGACAAATCCTAATAATTTATACAATTCAAGCTAAAAGCATAACCAACATCAATGTGGCATGGACAATCTCCATGCTCACCAAATAAGGCAACAAAGCCCAACAAAGTCTTAACTCAAATAATAATATCATGACAATAAAACATAAATCAGCATCCAAGCAGGTCAGCATAAACAGGCAATAAACAGTCAACTAAGCTCCAGCCTTCTGCCGCCCGAGGCATCAGCCCCAAGGTACCTGAACCTGAAAATGTGCCCCAAACGTGGCGTGAGATCTCTAAATAGAAATCTCAGTAAGACAAGGGGTCCTCAAGGATTTCTCCACCCCAAACTCACTTACATGTGCAATATAAGTTCAAAAACAGTAGTATAATATAAGTTCCAAAATTTGTGCAATGCATCATATAATCATGTCATGTGTGTCAATATCCTACTGGCCAGAGAAAATGCAGGAATTACATATGTCTATAACCTACAATCAGTGCAAGACACCACTTGCACTCCACCCACAGAATCACCATCTTGTATGACGCCACATACTCAGGCTTACCGTCTAGGTGGAACAACACATGCATATCACAAAGCACTTGCACATACCAGTTCAACAACATTTCAAATATCAATACATGAAAACACATCATGCATATAAACCATCCTCCCATGGGGTATGATGGAACCAACAATGGCTAAACCGAGGACATGAAAGCTTACCTCGCAAACTAGCTATCCAATCAAGAGTCCAACCAAGTCCAAGGTCCACAAACAGTACTCTCACAGTCTGTTTATACCAACAATCATATCAATATTCATGTTCTAATAGTCTATGACATAACTACAACATTTTCCTCTTACGTTTTGTGACACCCTCCCCTGTATGCATCCAAGGGAGATGTCTACTAAGCGAATTAGAGTCGTAACGTCATCAAAATAAATACTGAAACTGCATTGTCAAGTCACAAATTAAAAACTTGTATTGAAATCTGATTGCACCTGAAAACAGTGGAACATTTGGTAAAACCCTTTTGCTTGCTGAATTTGTTTATTTTTCCAGAAAACCTTTCTGTATTGTAAAAATCATATCAATTCGAATTCACCAGCTTAAAATTTTTTCTTTGACACAGGGAAACTAGACATCTGGGCCTTTACGTGCATATACAAATTATTTCGTTCGGACGTCTGTAACTCCCGAAACAGAACTCGCAAGGTACTCGATAAATCAGTGCAAATTTTACAAAAACTACTTGACTTGCAAAAATCATATAAAACCGGGCTTACATGATTTTGACATAAACTTAATATAATCTGAAACTAGACATCTGGGGCTTTACGTACATATAAATAATACCCCAATCAGGGCTTTGTAGCCCCAGAAATGGAACTCGCAAAGTGCTCGCTAAATCAGTTTAAAAATTCAGGATTTAAAACGTACATGAATTGTTTTTGCAAAAGAGTACCAGATTTTCACAAGATACAAGCTGACCATAAAAATCCAAAATACAGCAAATTAAGGCATGTCCTAACATTTTTTTGGTATCTCAAAATATTACATTAACATATAATGATCAGCCAACATCCAACAGAATAGCAGACAAATAGCAGAATTTCCAAAATAGCAGCAGTCAACAGAATATTTCCAAAACCAATACTTCATCAAATGCTTCTCCGACCTCCTGCAATTTTATAAAAATTGAGCCCCAAAAGGGGTGAGAAAAATCCCAGTAGTGTGGCAGAAAAAACCAGTAGTGCAACAATATTAGTCTAGATACAGGAATTCCAAAACAGTCGCATCATCAAAATTTTCCGGACAGAGACTAAAATTTAATCAGAATGCATATATAACGCCAGAGCACTAATCAGAGTGTGTATATAACGCCAGAATACTAATCAGAGTACGTATATAACGCTAGAATAATGTACGTTCATAGCATTGCAGTGCACGTACTAACTAACTAACACAATGGAGATTCCATTTGGCCCATCAGAGGGGAATTCCAACTGCGACCTATGCGAACTGAGCCACGGTTCCTTCTCCTTGGTACCTGAGGGATGCCTACATGATGCATGCTCAGACAAATGTTTCTTTTCCAAAATATTTATAGTTCACAAAACAGCAAGAAAATAATGCGTGTATGCCATGATATGTTTCGCACGCCCAAAAACAGATGAAATTATGATGTATATGCGCATGACTAAATCAGAATCAGAGTACCATATAACTCATGGGATTTTAACACCAATATCTCGAATAACAAATACTTCCAAAACAGAATTTCCCTTATGTCAAGTCCAAGGGCAGATTTCAAATAATGTTTAACAGATTACGAATCCAAAGGCACATGTGAGCACAGTTCAAAATTCAATGCACTAGCTAATAGTCACAAAAGGCTTCACTACCAAACACTTACCTGGTGTGCCCAAATATTAATCAAACAGCACCAAACTCAGTCCACACACTAGGGAATATGCGCACCTAGGCAAAATATAGCAAGTCAGAATTATACGTCACATTTTTATCCTATACGTAACATACGTTTTCATTTCTTTTGACTCTTAGTTCCCAACCGGTTTACCGAGTTCTTTTTCTAATAAGTTTCTGACTTCAATTAAATATTATCAACTTGTTAACAGTGAACAATCCAAAGTTTCTCAAGCATAACAATTCAGTTTCAACACTAAAAATAATCTCATGATTTTTTTATTCGCATTTTCAACATAACTACCTATAGTGCGCTCAAGAGGGACCTAAAGCATGCTGTCAAATTAATTTAATTCATACAAGGCTTGATACACAATATAGTCCAACCAAAACAATCCAACAACTCACAAGAGAGCTATGTTCCAAGCTCCAAAATCGGGTTCTAAGCTTGCATGCATCGAAGGGTTTGGTGTTCTCCACTAGGCAGAAACAGAAAGGAGAATGACAACTACCAATCCTCCTTGTAGACATGCAAGGGCCGAAACAGAGAAAATAGAAGGAAAGCTTGTGATTCGAATCCTACCTCTTGGCATACACACAATTTCCCTCAAAGCGGATAAGGAGAACAGCCACCAATTTGCGCTAGAGCCTCACACTCCCACTCTCCAAGACTCCGAAATTTTCAGCTGCATGTAAGGGAAGAATCTCTTGTAAAACCAAAAAGGAACATGAGGGAATAGAAATAGAGGCAATACATTACCTCCTTGAATACTTGTGCACAACCGAACAAAGAGGAAGAAGAAGAATGTGCTTGGAAACTTTGGTTATCCTTCTATGGAGCTCACGATATTGCTTGGTGTTCCTCCTCTAAGTAGCTTACGACAATGAGAGGAAATGAGAGAAGAATAAGTGCAGACTAGGTTTTGGTGTTCATCTTGGGCAGTTTACGGTTTAGAGGGGAATAGGAGGAGTGGTGATAGAGTTTTGAGTTGGTACTCCATTAAGTGGTTAGAGAAGGAGAGATTAAAGTGGAGTTGATTGAGCTTTTACAAACGACCAGAATATTTTCTTGTTTTACTATTGTCCTGCGCAAGAAGGGAAGAGGGATAGTGGTCTAGCTAAATTCTGAATTAATGTCCAAAGCATTATCTTGTTGGTCTCCTATGAGCGCACTAGGTGAAGTGAGGATAAAGAAGGGTGTGATTATTGGCCAATAAG